CTATCTGCTGTCGTATTTCAGTACTTGTGGCACTGTTTAGCTGCATAACAAAATTATTAATAAAATGGTTGGGTAGTTATTTGTGAATGTTTCTGATGTCACTGTCACGTGTTCTTACAGGTCTTTCATTCTCATATTGATAATCTTCCTGATGTTGTGGGCATAAAGAGACCGAACATTTGTTGGACTGCAGTCTGAAAGATTGATCATTAATCAATACCCATCTATTAATGAGGCTTTACCAGTCATTTTTATTTCTGTCAGTATTGTCAATTTGTCATTTGTATTTTATTTGACCTCAAAACAATTAAAATACATATCTGGTTTCTAGAGTAAAATGTTTGCTTTACTTATTATTTGCATTACGAGTGTGTCTTTGGACCCTAGTCATGAACCAGGACCCCACTGTGCCGTGTTGTACAATCACAAGGATTCCTGCCCCAAGGGACTTACAATCTGAGGCCTGGGCTACACTAGCGGGGGGGTTCGAACTAAGATACGCAACTTCAGCTACGCTATTCGCGTAGCTGAAGTCAAAGTATCTTAGTTCGACTTACCTGGCTGTCCTCATGGCGGCGAGTCAACTGCCGCAGCTCCCCTGTCGACTCCGCTTACTCCTCCTGCCGAGGTGGAGTACGGGCGTCGATTCGCAGATTGATTTATCACGTCCAGACGAGACACAATAAATCGATCCCCGATACATTGAACACTACCCACCGATCCAGCGGGTAGTATAGACGTACCCTTAGTATAAGACATGAGACAGAGTGGCACAGGCAGGGGCATACAAGAAACAATATTGGTCAGCATGGTAGGCATTGGTCTCTGCACACCAGCAGCCTAGCTACTGTCAAGTTTTTTGCAGACAACATGACAATATTTTTTTGCAGGCAAGAGTTCTGAGGAGGAATTAGAAGGTGCATAAGGAGATACCATGGCAGATGTTTTCAGGGAGAACCTACCAAACATGAGGGCCAGCATGGGTGAAAGCAGAATGTTTGACTGAAAATTTAATAAGTGCGCAATGGAAGCTGTCATCATCGGCACATTGGAGGCAAGCGTTGGCCACTTGATAGTGAATGAGAAATGGTAGGTAGGGTGGAGTCTGACTGAAGGGCCTTGAAAATGAATACAAGCAATTAACCTAAAACATCAACCTAAATCAACATCGTTCCAGCACTGCTAATTTTAAGCAGCAAATTACATACAAATTTCAACTAAGCTATAACAAGTAACTTCCACATGATATATTTAAAATATAAATGAATGTACTCAACATAAGCATATTTAATAGATATGGAGCAGAACTTATTAGATTGTGTGCTTTTTCCAATTAAGCTTCATCTAAGAATTACATCACTGCAAGGCTGCCAAGGCTCACAAGATAAAAAAGCTGCACTGCCTTTTCACAGCAAGGCGGTAGTAGTAAACTTTGCAAACTGAAAGCATTAATTAGATTTCGGTAATTTCACTTTTATTACTACCACTTCCATCTGTCCACTAACTTTCAAATACTGCCCACTTTTTAAACAAAGAATTGCATTTATACAACTTAAGAATTCCAGTTCTCATACTTACTCCAGGCTTGTAAACATTTCAACTCAAGAGCTTGATTTCTCCATTATTTCAAATAAATACTCACGTACAGACAAATCAGAATGTAGCAAGGATTTTCTACAGAAAGTGTGCATGAACTCCAATCTGCATAGCTACTTAAGTGCTCGTATCTTGTTTTCATGACATGCAATAAGATAAGGGAGGATGCAGCAATATGTCAACAGGGAATTTGTTACTCTGTTAGACAGCCTACCTGTGATGGGGTATATACCAGACCCTCTGAGGCCCCGTGCTGGAGGACTCATGGCCCTGCTACACCCTGCCCCAAAAAAGGCAGTGGAGAGGGTCCTCCAAGCTTTGTAGAGTGGCTGTGTGGGACACAGACAATCGGGGCCAAGCAGCTTAGTATAAGAAGAGCTGCAGGGCCAGAGGCAGTTCAGTTCCGTGCTGGAGCTGCAGGAGCCTGGCTGGTGTGTGGCTGGCTGACAGAGCTGCAGAACTCCGGATAGGGCAGCGCTGCCAGAAGCCGGGGAGAGTGAGAAGGAGCCCGGAGCTGGTTGCTGGGACTTCATCAGGACAAGGCCCTGAGGTAAGGGTGAAGACAGTGTGGGCCTGCGAGGAAGTAGCCCAGGGAATTAGAGAAGCCATGTGACATAGTTAAAGGGACACAGCAGAGATCTATGGGGTCCCTGCCTTGGGGCCTGGAGTAGTGGGCAGGCCCAGGGGGAAGTGCTGTAACCAGAAGCCCAAGAGGGCGAAGACATTGTCTCCAGGGAGGGAGCCCATCTGAGAGAGAGAGAGCGCGCGTGTGCGCAGGTACACACACTCGGACTAGGGGGCGCTCATGAGAGGTGAGTGTACCCTGCTACACTGGTACCAGAAGTGCGGATTTTGGGGCCGACCCCTGAAACAAGGGGACAATGGAGGAGTTGGTAAGGCTGCTGGCCCAGCAGCAGCACAGCTCTACTGCAACCCAGAGGGCACTAGTTGAAGCGCAGCATCAAGCTTAGCAGGGTGCGCAGCAACAGCAGCAGGAGCAGGAATTCCAGGAGGCATTGTTGCAGCGACTAACTAGCTCAGCAGCCTCCTCAAACCAACTGAACCCTGGGCCGGGGAGACCACTGGCCAAGCTGGGGCCACATCATGATCTGAGGCCTACTTAGTCACCTTTGAGCGGGTAGCCCCAACCGCTGCTTGGGATAAAGACACCTGGCCCCATTCCTGTTCAGGGAAGCTCAGGTGGCTTACCAGGCCCTGGATGACAAAGCGGTGAGAGATTATCGGACAGTGAAGGCTGCCATACTCGACTGTCTTGGAGTATCCCCAGAAACTTACTGCTTGGAGCTTTTTGCCTCAGGGCCTCGCCCCTGGGCCGCAGTCCAATGCCTTAAAAACTGGGCTACCCAATAGCTATGCCCTGAGGTCCACACAACTGCAGAGATCATAGACGCGATAGTCTTAGAGCAGTACCTAGACATATTGCCAATATCAACTCAAACATGGGCTCGGCAGCATAGACCCTACTTGCTTGCCGCTGCAGTCCAGATTACAGAGGACTATTTGCTCGCTGCCTGGCCTGGCAAATATGCCCCGCTGAGGTTTGATCATGGGCAGGCCCAGGGTGCAAAGAACTCTGCCCGGTTGCCAAAGGAGGCACCCAAGAGACCCGAACCGACCAGGAGGGAAGTCCCTCTGGATCCAGCACTGGTCACAATGGGTGCCTGCCGTCCCGTCCCAGAGCTGCACCCCAGAAACCCCAAAGAGAAGGGATCAGCAAGACCCTATTAGTGGCCCACTTTTATGCTTTCACTGTGGGAGGCCAGGACACTTCAGCCGATCTTGTCCTGTCATGGAATGGGACTTCTTAGACTTTGGGGTCCCTGAAACGTGTAGCAGCTCTGAGCCCAGGCTCGACCAACGGCATAAAGCTTATGTGGCCCAAGTCACTATGGGAGGCTGCACTATGCCTGGGCTGGTGGATGCAGGGTACTCCCAAGCCCTGGTTTGAGAGTCCCTGCTTGACTGTAGCGACCTCAAATATGACTGCCCTGTGACATTCTGTACCTTGGGGGAAGCATACTGTAACCCCAATATTCCTCATTTTCATATAATCCTGATCTCACATATAAAGCATGCCTTGTAAGGTATCAGGGGAAAGGTTATGATCTGCTGAAAGTCATTTCTCTATTGATATACATATATCATTAATGCATATGAAGTTATGAGAATTGTGTAGTATGGCTGTCACTAAAGCATGCTGTAAGTTGGGGAATTAGCCAGATATTAGCTCCCCAGAGGCAACGGCAAGGAAAGTAACCAACACCCAGGTGGAGTGTCTCATACACTCATAGATTTTAAGGTCAGAAGGGACCATTATGATTGTCTAGTCTGACCTCCCGCACAACGCAGGCCACAGAATCTCACCCACCCACTCCTATAATAAACCCCTAACCTATGTCTGAGCTATTGAAGTCCTCAAATTGAAGTCCTCCCAGCAGCACGAGGAGGATCAGACTCACCTCCACCTCCGGGAGCTTCCTCCGGCTGCAGGAAGCAACTTGGCTGATGGCAGCACAGAAGTGAGGGTGGCAAGCCTGTGACCCCCCCCTTACAACAGCCTTGCAATTCCCCCACAACCCCCTTTTTGGGTCAGTACCCTCCCTCCCCTGGGTTACAACATTGTGAAATTTCAGATGTAAACATCTGAAAATGTGAACTTGACTAATTTTCAAATCCTATAGCCATGAAATTGATCAGAATGGACAATGAATTTGGTAGGGCCCTACTCGTCCCTTTTGAATTTAAAACAGTCAATGTCTTGCACTGCAATGATTCTCTCTGAGCTAAGGACAACTGGACAGAACTCCCTTCAGAGCCCAAAGTGACTGCTCCAAGATCTTCTAGATGGGTGGCTGCACAGTACAGCTGGTGCAAAAATTACTGTGAAAAATATTTATTGAAATGTTGACAATTTTCAACCACTTCTAGGGCAGAGTAACACAGAGACTCCAATCCTCTCTAGGGCTGAATGCACTCTTTTGCTCACTAGGGCCTTGGGAGACTGGCTGGATCTATGAATCTAACTGGCTTTATGGCAATATCAGAAAGCTAACCCTAGGCACCAAGCCTGCTTTCCATCCTTTTCAAGTCACCTATGTAACTACCTTGTAACTCAGATTTAAATCTAACAGTTTGTCCAAGTAAAACTATCCTGTGCATTCCCATAAGTCATTCTGCTCCCCAGATATCAGAATCCAAACTCAAAAATAACTTATATTTATACTCAATAGACTACTCTAATACCTGTTTAATTATAGCAACTTAAGTGTTCTATAGCAATAAAATATTTGTGTAGATTACACACTAAATATCTTAATACAAGAGTGAACCACACCAGTATAGGTCAGCAAGATGCTTCATACTTTAAAGAAACTATCCCATACCTTGTTCATGTCTAAAGTTGTTTCTATCATTTCCTGAAACTTGGAGAAGTCAGAGTTGAGATCATTAAGAGGCATTACAAATACTGCCAGTAACAACATCTGGTGTGCTCCTGTCAAAGAAAAAAAATGTGATAGTCATTATTTCTCTAAATATTCAGTTGAACTTACCAGCCTGAAGCAAAATAGCACCAGTACACAACTAATGAGTTTTCAGTTTTCACTAAGATGTGACAATAGTTATTTCACAGACTGCACTTACTTCAGAAATTCTTCCTATTTTTAGCTTATCTACCTCATTCCAAGGATGGAGACTAACCATTGCACTCTCACTAGAGCGGTGGTTCTCAACCCATGGCCCGCTTGCGGCCCAATCAGCAAATAGCTGCGGCGACATCCTCAGGGCCATACAGGTATTATATATATTGTGTTACATGGGCCACATCCACACAGACAGCTCCAAATGTGGCCCACAATGGTAAACAGGTTGAGAACCTCTCCTCTAGAGAATCATTTGGTGCTATTACATGCACTTTATTCATATCCAAAGTAATGTGAATCAACTGCATTGTTACCTATACTATGCAGCACTCAAAGTGAACATCAGCCATCTGAATACAACCCAATGTTGCTGGGGGAAGCAGAAATTTCAAAACTGCTTTCGCTGAGATTTTAACCTCTAGAGTTACCAATTTTTAAGATGTATTAATTGAAATTATTTGAAAAATTCTATTATCTTTGCCCCATGTGAATTGTTTGTATTAAAAATAAAATCCCACAAGTTAAGAAGCTTCTGACACTACAAGTTGTAACTCAGACTTTGGGCATCGCTGGGAAATACTGTTAAAATCTCTCTTCTTCACCAGTCTGCATTAGATCTTTACATCTGCTAATATTAATTTCAAATGGGAAGCCAATTTATTAAACATTAAAAAAACTGAATTGTAAAACATAACATCTATTTTTCTATATGCATGTCCTGTATATATGTTCTAACGCTGAATACAATAGTCATAAGAGCAGATTCTACATCTCACACAAATGCATAGAATTTTAAACGTATGAAATAATCCACAAGCAATGAAACACAAAAAGAGATAAGACTCCAGATTTACTGTTAGCACTTGCAGACATTTATAGTTCTGTGAAACCAGCATATTTTCTGAGCTGCAACTGTGAGCCTATACAATAGCCAACTGCAAACACTTCATATCAGTAAATAAATGTTTACATTTTTGCAACCATGAGGTATAATTTAATCACAGCAGCTAAAGTTACATCAGTATTATTAATACTATGAATTATCATAGAATCCTTCAAAATGAATCAGAGGCTGTAACACTGCAGCAGCTGATTAAGTATAGAATTATGAGGTTTTCTTTAGAACATAATATACACCTTTCATGTTCACAAGTAACCTCAATGCATTAACAGATAAAGATAGTACTATGTACTGGCTATTACCAGAACTTCCCATTTCCTTATCAACCTATTCAAAGAAACCCTAGTCTCTTCCCCTCCATTTCACTTTCATACTCATGCCTCACCTCACCAATATTAACCACTGAGAAGTAACTGGACTACTGCCCTAAATGGTCTAGGTCTAGGACATTTTTATCCACAATCATCCAACCCCTATAATAGTACTGCAGTTGCCAACATCTGAAACTTGACTGGAACACCATCCATTTGAAAAGAGTGGGCTACTAGCTCTGTTTTGATGCCCTCTCAATTCTAGAATCTGGATATTTTTTTAGGCATGAACCACAACCCATCTTTTTGTCCTCAGGTATCTGGAGAGGTAAATTATTTCATTTCCATAAAACCCAACACCACTCTCCCATCTCCTGATTTCTTTGGAACCATACTGGGGGGAAGAAACATATACACTTCCTCAGTGTGTGTCTTCTGGTTTGTACACTCCAGATCCCATTAGGTTAGGGTTACCATCCGTCCGGGTTTCCCCGGACATGTCCGGCTTTTTTAGCTTTAAATGGCCGTCCAGGGGGATTTCTAATAACGTGGAAATGTCCAGGATTTCCCCCTTCCCCTCATGCAGAGTGCGGTGTGGCTGATTGGACGGCTGTGCTTGATTGAAAGCCGCTCGCAGCCACTGGGGCCTCTAGCAGCCAGAGTCCCTCCCCCTCCCCCGCTCCCTCCTCCCCCGCAGAGCAGCGCCTTATTTGTTTGGCTGCACGTGGAGCCCGCAGCTCTCCCTCGGCCTGGTGGGGGGGAGGGGCAGGCAAGGGACAGGGAACGGGGGGGTTAGATTGGTCGGGGGTTCTCGGGGGGGCTGTCAGGAGAAGGGGATGTAGAGAGCAGTTGGGGCAGGCAAGGGACAGGGAACGGGGGGGTTAGATTGGTCGGGGGTTCTGGGGGGGGCTGTCAGGAGAAGGGGGTGTAGAGAGTGGTTGGGGCAGTCAGGGGACAGGGAGCAGGGAGATAGATAGGGGGTGGGGTCCTGAGGGCAGTTAGGGTGGGGGGGGACAGATAGGGAGTAGGGGGATTCTGAGGGGGGCGGGAAGTGGGAGGGGGCGGGGCTAGGGCGGCACCCCGTGTCCTCTTTTTTGATTGTTGAAATATGGTAACCCTACATTAGGTGTTGGACAGCTTTTAGCATAATGGAGTGCATCTAAGGATTTATTGATTTTGTGTACTGAATTGTATTTGATCCGTGACTTGGAGACCCCCCTGGGAATTGTCTACAGAAATTATCTTCAAGACTTGCCTGTGGGGATGGTAAACTGAAGTTTCCCTTTTAATTCCCCCTCCCTCCCCCAAACTGCTGCACAGTGCAGAATAACAGCAGCTCACTTCCAGTAAGAAAAAACGGGAGCATATTCTCTGCACCTACTTCTGCCTATAATAGTGGCATGAACTGAGATAGTAGGCAGTGTCTTGGTGCCCTCCAATCCCCGTTTGTTCTGCCTCCATGCATCTCCAGTGCTCGGTAGTGCAGGATTTGCAAAGGGAAAGCTACGATAGTCAGGCTCCTCAACCTGCAGGGGAACTTTTCTTAAAAGTTACTATTCCAAAAATATTCTCAGGCCCCAAAAGACTGCTGTACTTTAGCATTACAAAGCACATGCTGAATCAGGAAGGTGGACATCAGCAAAGTTCTCACCATTTTCTGTTAACTTAATGAGCTCTGCAGACCTTCACCATCAGTATTTTGCTTAAAATGTCAAAATTTTAAATTGTCTAGGTTTCAAACTGCTAGAAAGTCATCCTAACCTTTTTCACAAATTGTATTATTTAATAATGCACAAGTCTTTGAAGCAGTAGTAAATATTTGCTTCTTATACTTCATTCAATACTTCCAAAAAAAAAAAAGGAGTTACACACTGTGTAATCTAAGTACCAAGTAGTGTTTAACACTTTTTTTTTTTTTTTTTTTAAAAAGACACTCCCCCAGCCCAGGCCAGCAAAGGCTAAAAAAATGCACCAGCTAGGGGACTAGACAGTTCAGGAGATCACTATCAGCATTATAAAGCCTTTCAATCCTAAATCATGAACTCCATTCTATCTCAAGTACATTGTGACCTGTCATTTCCATCTGAAGGCTATTTAATGGGCTAAGCAAAATAAGTTGTAGCCATCTGTGCACTGAGACCAACATCAAGTACCATCACTAACACTGGCAGGCCAAGAATAGAATGGGCTCAGAGATTAAGCTATTCTGCTTTCAATCTTAGAGAGTTTCATAACTGACAGAGAGAAAGCTGATTTTTTTGGTTCTCCTTTTCTCTTCTTGACTTATTTTTGCTTGGCTTTTGATTAAAAAAATTGATCGATCTCTATTCCTCAGTAAAAGATTAAATCCTTTCATCAGCAGACTGCTGAAGTTGCAGAAATGGAAGACAGTCATTTTAAATCTAACTAGTCTTTGCAAAACAACTTTGAAGAACAATGCAAGGGAGCACAGCAGCACAGAGAAAAGATATATGCACCAATAAATTGGAAGTATGAAGTGTGCTACTATTTTAGGTGGGGAGTTTGAAATTGTGGATTTATGGGATATTGCCAAGTCACAAATTCCAGTCCATCCACAGTATGACTAATATGGAGGTAATTACGTTTCTCATTTCCAAGAGCTGAAGGAACATGAATTGTGACTTTTTTTCTTTTTTTAAAAAATAAAGAAAACTTGGAAGACAAACCTGAACTAATTTGGAAAAATAGGATGCACTAAGGAGGTGGCAGGGATTAGATAAAGAGAGTCAAATAATTTCTCTTCTCTGAAAGTGGACTCATCAGTTTTTCATGCACTGATTAACAGAGCAGGGGCACATACAGTACAATAATCTCAGATATACCTGAATACTTGATAAATTATCATAATTAATTTAAGTAGCAGTAAAAATTCACCTTCTTTAAAAGAATGAAGAAAGTTTAATGATACAACTTAAAAAATGAAATTTAGATGAGCATGTTTTCCAAAAGTCTAAAGGCAAAATACATAAATTCACAATAAAGTCAAATTTAAGATTAAGAAAATACTGGATTTCTTTTGCATATGAATCATATCAAAACAGATACTTTTAAAATTAGTTTAAATGAAAATTCATTTTCATTCTAGTTTCGTTACTTAAATCTAAGGCCTGGTGATACACGGCTTAAGACACAGCGAACACTAAGTTAGAAAACCAGTTTTCATATGCACACTCTTTATATGCATAATGCACCATGTTAATGAATGAGTGATAGAAGGTTTATCAAGAAGCTCCAAATTGAACTCCATTTGTCTCACTGTTGCATTTACAGTTTCATTTCAAAGGCCATCCATTTTATCACCCTATCAACAAATTCTCTGCATGTAATTCCCATTGTTATTAAAGTAAGCAAGCTGTGCACATACAGAGGAAGAGAAGAATTGACCTATAACATCTCCAAAGCTGAAAAGGAAAGGAATTAACCAATTGCAACACCTGCCTCTGCTCTCATCTTTTAAATTAAGCTACAATTTCATGATTGCCACAATTTTCAGTTTACTATAGCAAAAGGTTTTATTATACCTATTAACTCAAAATTAAAATTACTGCATTACTACACAGAAAGTTGAAAGGTAAGAGCACTTTACATCTCAAATCTTGAAATGTTATGAAATTTAAAT